AAAAAACACTTTTCCGCACTTGTATCAAAATATACTATTATGTCCGAGGTCCGCATATGAATATAGATATGGCGGGATGAAATTCGAATTTTCGACGAGAGAAAGCAATATAGAACACCGAGTCGATTTTCCGTTTCATTCTAATAAGTGATTTAACGTGAAGAAGAACATTTTCTGTGGTTCTCCATAACAACATCACAACCCACATTCAAATGCACTGGTGGCAACACTTCAACGTTGGATATGAAGCTCAGTTGGACCGGCGCTGCCAACGTTACAACTTGATTCTCACACTTTATAATGTGAATCGCGAGAATGTGAATATCAACTCGTTGTTATGCGCCTATCTTTTTTACTGTTAATCCAAAAAATACCATAGTTACACCGTTGAAAAGCTCATAGGCGATTTATATAATGTAACTAATGACACTTTCCCGATTTGTCGTCCCGTTTTCATTATATCGAATGTAAATTATTTAGCGGTAGTGGAGGGGGAAGTTCTGTCGTGTATAGATACGCGGTGCTCTCGGCCTCATATTTTGCTCAGTCGGTCAAAACTTTTCTTGGCCGATACGCTACCGCGTATCTCGATTCTTCGCAAAATCTTATTGATAACTTCAAATTCATATATGGCAGATTCCTCTAAATCAAGTCAAAAGCCTTGATTATTTACGAAAAATATATATTTTAGGGTGTGGCGCAATATAAAAAATTTAAATAGCCGGCGATAATTCCATGTAAATGCAACATACGTAATTTTCTAAGAACCAATAATTTTTGGTAGAAGAAAGACTTTTCAATATTTTCGAGTAAAGTTTATTGACTAATTTTTGTACATTTCTTTTTTCTGAAAATTGTTACTAAATAGGAGTTGAAGATGGGTTTTGTACTTACTGAGGCTAAGTTGAGGATAGACTCTTTCATTTTCGCAAGGCCCTGCCTTGTGATTCCAAGAACTTCTCCTCGACTGGTCATAAGATCTGCAACGAGCATTGGATGGCGACGATCAATACTCATTCCATGGCCCTCCATCACTTTTTTAATTTCAGTCATGATAGTGGCACGAGCTGCCTCGATCCCCAGTGTCTTGAAAACCTGTGTCAATGGAAAGAAGTAATTAATAAGTAAATTACTATCATCAAATTATTCAAAATTTTCAATGTTTCAATCTAGGTAATGGAGTTTTTTAATCGGTACATTTTGTAATTTGAGACGTGTACAATTCGATTGAAAACTATTGGATACTCAATACAATGGGCACATAATTTCGTGTTGGCGTATGTCAGTAAAATCTTTCATAACTCTAATCAGGATATTAAAAAAATGTAAAATTATAAAAAGACATTATTTCAAAGTGTATTTACCTCTCCAACTGAAGAGGTTTAGAGACATGAATCACAACATTTTCTCGTAGAAACGGTAAAAAAATTAATAAAAAAAATAAAGCTCACCTCTACAGTATTATTCGACGTAGTTTTACAACCTAGTACACCCCTGGTCGCCATGACTTCCCTCATGTTATCCCCCTCCACATAAACTTTATACTCTGTCTTTCCACTTGAATCATCATTATGAATAACCGCCCTGGCCACAGTAGCCAATCCTTTAATAACAACATTGGGCACAGACTCTTTCAGCAACATGAGCGCATGATTCAGACTATGCTTCTGACTACTAGGATTGATCGTCAGTATAGACTCCCCTCTGACATTCACATGTTTAGGATTGAGTTTCAGCTTCGAGGTACATAGCGCATATCGAATCGAGTTGGCATCAACCTCCAGCTTCAACAACTTGATCCTATCAATATCCAGTTTAATAAGTAAAAAGCAATCGTCGGGCAGGTAAACCTCCTCTATATACTCCGTTACCTCCCCTAGCGTCGTCTTCTCAATCCTCCCCTTGACCCTCCTCGCGAATTCAGCGTCACTTTCATTCTCCAAAGCAGCGGTAATGATGGGAGTACTAATCTTATGATTGGCATTAATAATTTCTTTAATTCTCGGCACTCCCTGTGTAATATTCATACTCGCGACTCCAGCAAAGTGAAAAGTCTTGAGGGTCATCTGGGTTCCGGGTTCTCCAATGCTTTGGGCTGCCAGCGCCCCCACTGCAGTTCCTGGCTCAATCTTCGCCCTCATGAATTTCTCCTTGCATGTATGAATAAACTCCACCAACTGTGACACTGTCAGCCTCTCCAATTGCTGGTTAACCTTGATTTTAGGATTGTAAAGCATTCTAAACCTCGTGATACTTCTTGAAACCCCTTTCAGGAACATAATCAACTCGTTCTTAAACTCTTCAGATAGACAAGAGAACTCTTCGGTATTCAACAGCTGAACGGTTGCTTTGATAACACTAGGCCCATCAAGTGAATCTTCATCCTTGCATGGGGATTTGGCTCGAACATGATCAAGAACTCGTTTGTAATCAACAGGACAGTCCTTTCCCTCCATGTAAGTAGGATCTAGAGCATCTCCTCCGTAAAGAATCTGAACAATATCTCCGGTGGAGTTCCTAACAGTCATATCATAATGCAGACAGAGATCCTCCAGACTCTTGACCAATCTTCGCTGCATGTACCCAGTCTCAGCTGTCTTGACAGCTGTGTCAACCAGCCCCTCTCGTCCTCCCATTGTGTGGAAGAAGAACTCAGTGGGTGTGAGTCCAGAGTAAAAAGAGTTCTCGACGAATCCCTTGGCTGCAGGAACCTTTGAATGTCTCTCAAAGTGGGGTAGAGCTCGGTCTTCAAAGCCATTTGGGACACGGTGTCCACTGATGGCTTGTTGGCCGACACAAGCGATCATCTGGGAGATATTGATGAAGGATCCTTTACTTCCGGATAATGCCATCACTAATGGCGAGTTACTATGGTGGAGCTCTTTCAAGCAAGCCTTTCCAGCGTGATCTCTGATTACTGAGAGTTCCTTGAGAATTACGGCTTCGAGACTCTCCTCTGCTGATAAACCAGGCTGGCAAGGAAGACGGCCATCTTCCATTTGCTTGATGTATTGAGTGCACTTACCATATCCAGCACTCAGCAGTTCGTATTTAGCCCTAAGCAGTCCTTGGCCAGGGGTAACATCTCCAATTCCAATAGAAAAGCCTCGATTCATCAAAAAGTAACTGGCCATTCTCGCTAATCGCCACATTGCAATGGTTGAAGCATCCTCACCCCAGTCTCTTAAAAGAACGTAAAAGATATTCTGTTTCGCGCCAGAGCCTAGGGTTGACTTATCCATCGCTCCTGCAAGAAGCTCAGAGTTCCTGATAATTACGTAAGAATCATTCATACAGAGTTCTTCATCATAAGTGTAAGCCCTTCCTTTAGTTTTGAGATTAGCAAGGATTTGGCAGGAAGAGTTTGGTCGTAGGATTAAACTAAAAATCTGTTTTCCTGTCCAGAGTTGTTGGGGTTTCATAATGGCTGGAGAGGGAAGGTCGATATTCATCGAAGAGTCTGGACCTGCGAGGAGACATGAAGCGAGTTGGCAAGCCTGTGATTTATTCAGAAAGGTGTCCTTTTGGGTTAATAAGTAACCCCCAGTGATGAAGTCTTGAGTTGCAGCGATGAGCAATTCACCATTTCGTGGGGTTACAAGGTTTGATTTATTTCCCATGAGAACTAGGGCTTCAGCGCGAGCTTCTTCGGTTTGAGGGAGATGAAGATTCATCTCATCACCGTCGAAATCTGCGTTGTAGGGAGTACAAACACATTCGTTAAAGCGGAATGTTCGATGCTCTAGTACTTTTGCTTTATGCGCCATGATTGATAATTTATGGAGGGAAGGTTGACGGTTAAAAAGGACGATGTCGTCGTCTCGGAGATGACGCTCGATAATGTCACCATATTGCAAATCCTGAGCGATCTTCTGACGATTTCCGTATCGAAGGAATTTCTTGAATTGTGTTCGTCCTTGCTGTACGAAATTAGCACCTGGATGAACATCGGGTCCATTTTGAACCAATTTTCTCATTAACTCTATGTTCGAGGGATTGACTCGTTCAGGGAAAGTCAAGATTTTTGCTACGTGAATTGGAACTCCAACCTGTTCAATTCTCAAGTTCGGATCTGGGGAGATGACAGTTCTAGAGGAGAAGTCCACTCGTTTTCCTGACAAGTTCCCCCTAAATCTCCCCTGTTTACCTTTCAATCGTTGTACTAGACCTCTTCCTGGAGATTTTTTGGGCTGCATGTTTATAGGAATCCCTGACATTTCACTGTTGATATAAAGGGCACAATGGAGCTGTAAGAATTCCCAGTCTTCGTTGTACATTTGTACTTTCGTACCACTTTGCCTATGTTTTTGAATGACATTGTTGATAAAAATAATTTCTGAAAGCTTCATGGTGAGATTGTCCTCGTTGGTTCCTGCTTTCAAGTCAGAGACTACGCTGGGGCGAATGCAGATGGGGGGAACTGGAATTCGAGTGAGGATTAGGTCCTTGGGAAGGGCGCAGTTAGGGTTCATGAGGAGGAGGGGAATATCGTTCAGGGGGATGCGCTCGAAGATGCCTTGGACCTCAAGGGGGTTCAGGACGTTGACTAGGCCAGCTTGAAGAATTGATTCCACCTCTTTGTTGTCTTTCGTCACATTAGAGTATTCGGCTAGTTTTTGTTCGACGATTGGGTCGGTCTTCTTTTTTGAGCGGTACTTCTCGTGCACGATTTTCAGCAAACCGGCTTTTTTTACCATGCCGTTCAGGTCTTTGCAGTTAGGGCAGATTGTAACTTTCTTGGTTTTGTCGAGAATTACCTTTCGAAGGGCTTTGCGGTTTAAGTAGCCCAAGTTGGGGTTCACCACCCGGTTCAAGTAAAGTTTTTTGTCTCTTTCCGGTAGCATTACGTGAGAACATTTCTGAAATTATTCGTGGAACAAAAAGTATATTAAAATGCTTGAGTAAAATCCATTGCTGCTATGATTTAATAATTTACTATTTCCAGTAAAAATATCTGATTTTATCTGACGACGACAATCTTGTCAATTTATATAATCAAGGGTGATGAGAATTTAGCGAGCAATTACTCAGGGATATCTAGCTCCAATTACGACGAGGGGGCGAAATATTTGGTCAGAACAGGAGAAAAAACTGGTAGCAAGACAAACAGGATTCAGCAAGATGAACACAGGGAAGCTTGGAAGGAAAATGGAAGAAAGCAAAATTTTTCGAAATAATGAAAGGAATCTATACTTAGTTCTGTCTTTAACATCTGTCTGAATGATTTGCAACCGGAGCTACGAAGAAGGAGAGATAGAAGCACAGAAATAAGCTTCGGCTCGAATGATTGCAGCCAATGGAAAAAGGAGAGAGTGCTACGAAACAGTATCGAAAAGAAGTTTCAACAGACTGTAAATTGAATTTGATTAATATCATAATAATTTAATTCGGACATATCAGATTGAACAATTTAACAAATGTGATATTGTTATTATTACTACTCTACTGTTAATCTAATGAGACAGCACAATCAATCTATTAGAGTGTTGTTAACGGCGGTATTTACCATTGTTTGAGCTTAAAACTGTAAAGGTAGCATCAAGGAAATAAAGGTCTATTCTTATAATATTTCTTACTATTATTCATTATTATCGACAATTCGATTATCGATAATGTTTCAATTTATAATTTAGGAAATTCTTAAGACTTCATACCTTGCAAATTGTTTGTAAAATTCCAATGATTGATCTAAAATAGCCAACATGAAAGACTGGTAATTCAAGATCAATGTACCCAAAGTGTCCAATACACTCGCTGAGGTTCTTCCCACAAGTGCCACAGGGTGTTGCATTTGAGCAAGTACCCTAAAATAAATAACAGAACTGTTACATCATTGTCCCGGTCGGACCATTAACAATAAGAATATGTTCTTACCATTCGTTTGTCGAGTACTCCATAGGGAAGTGGAGTATGATTATCCTGAGTGTACAACGGCTTTGCCACAACATGAATATGCGCCTGCCGTTCAATGTTGTGACGACTGTCCACGCCGAATGATACATGAGAGCTAAATAACCAAAAATTTGATTAACTAAAAGGAATTCAGTAGAAGGTTGGAAGGAAGTGGAACTCAAATACAACATGCTTTTTGATTTTTATGTGCTAATTGAAGATTCCATCGCTGTGTATGACAGTAATAATTATTATCCCAATTTATCACTAGACAATTAATTACAGCTTATTTCATGACAAGTAGAATTCATAACTTTTCTATATAATTTAAGTCTTTAATTATATTTTGGCACACAGAATCCAAAATCAGGCCCACGAAAGTCTAACATAACAACAAATTGTAATAATCTTCACAACATTAAATATATAGACCGCTAAATGGAGTACTCCGGGCAGATAGTCCGGGCATGATATAGCACTTATAGTTCCAGTCCATAAAATCCGGAAAAATGCTTTATTCGCATTGGAGAAACTCTATTGGAATAAAATGAATGGATTCATTCAAATAGCTCGTGATGAAGCTATTATTCAAACTTGAACTTAATTTTTATTTGCGCTCTTCTTCAAATCAAATAAACCGTTTTCTTTCATATAAACAAATTGTTCGTTGATTAAAAAAATTTAATAATTGTTTAAATGGCAAAGCAAACAAATTTATCAACATGCACTGAGAGAAAAATAAACACGTTCTCAAACAAGTCTTGTTTGGGCCAACAAAATCGCTAGTTGAAAATTGCCAAAAAAGAATTTGTTTGGTTCGAATTTAAAAGTCTCAAACCTCAATAATTATTCTGCTTTCGACAGCAACGAAATATTTGGCTCAAGAGGTGCATAATTCACACCAGACGGTGCTTTTCAAGGATGAAAATATCTTATATAAAGGAAAATTTATCAAGAAATATTTTGTCCCTAATTTACAAGATTACTATCATATCATTATTGTTTTATTTAAGGGTTCATTTCTTGTCTGTGATTATTCGATAGCCGAAATGAAAAACTATCCCCAGTTTCGCATGAAACAAACATTTTTCGGAAGCAAAATACGTATGGGAGTATCGAATAACGAAGGAGTAGTGCTAGGAATTACATTTCTTATGTGTACAGAGAATGCATTTTTTTTACTACTAAATCTATTTTTGCGACAAAAATTTTTCATCTCGGCGCACTCTGCATGTTTGGCACAAAAAAATCCTTTTTTGATAATTTTCGAAAAACTATTTTCTTGGCACAAGTAGGACTTATTTGAGAATTTTCTCGTTTTTCGCTCAGTGTTAAATCAACCTTTCATTTAATTCTAATCAGTAGAGAATTTACTTGAAATAAATAAATTATGTATTTATTATAATTCAACTATTGTCATTGAAAAGAACACAAAAATTTCAAATGAAGAATTTCATTCAATACAATTGAATCGCTGAGTAAATATGAGCATAATAAGACTATATTTTTGAATAGGAATGGAAATAAATGTTGTGGCGAATTATCCACGTGATCAGTTTTTGTAATGCAGTGGCTTATAACATCCCAAAACTGTGCTAAAGAGTGGATTTCCTACGGAAATTGAGGAATTTTGCGGGAGAATATCGAGATTTTTTTTGTAGGCATGAAAATTCTTGATAACAGGCTCCCTGACATTGTCTGTAATATCTCTCATTATCAAGATAATTCAATAATTTAACTAAGATGTGTTGAAAGATTCGAGTTGAATTTTTAATTTGATTATTCTGTTGCCAAACCTGAGAAATGAGTGACTTTATGTAAAACCTCAAAAGGCCGTTTTTTCTATAATGTCTGCATCCACAAGGAGACTCTCTTAAAATTTTTTTTGGCATCGTTCATTAGCGAAATAATTCAAGAATTGAGAAGATAGGTTACATAAATAGTACATTTCATTAGGTCGAACAAAACTTTTTTGGCGAATATGAGTTTTTTATCCGCGCCGAAGGCGAGGGCTGCAATCATATAAGCTAGAAAGGTTTTTTTTTTCGATCGTAGGGTGAACAGGCCAATTTCTGGAAGGTTTTCTGGAAATTCGTGTTTCGTGGTAGGATCTAAAATGAAAGAATCACGTAAATGGGGATATGATAGCTTCCATACCTTCAAGAATGTTTTAATTAGCAGAAAAAATGATTTGAAGTAAAAATAATAAAACAAAGAATAATTAAATTTAGAAATAGTTGAATACACCCAAAACCCCTAATTTCTGGACGACTGGGCCATATTTTTTTTATTTATTAATGTCGATTAATAGGAAAAATAATTAATCACATGATTGTACACGAGTAATATTATTAAAAGGTGAAATAATCAGTACAATTCTCATTTTATTTATGGATTATTCAATATTATTCTTAGGTGGCGGGCATTAAATTTTCATATTTTCAGATAAATAAATCCGTCAAGTTATGAAATGAGGTAAGTGAACCTATCTCTGAGGTAGTTTTCCATAAATAATTTACAATCTGAGGGAGTTAAGAACATTTTGATGCAAGACCTTTCTCATAGAGCAAGTTGAAAGCTACAAGAAAGGTATCTACGAAAATTATGCTATCTCTACTGGATTTTACAATATTCTCAAAAAAGTATTTTGAGAAAAAATTGATTTCGTTCACTTTACCACTGAATTAAAACTGCTCTGATTTCTGTGATAAACCCAACGAAATTGGTGTTTGATGATCAAAGTTTTGCAATTAACGATATTTTAAACTCTAAAATAATGATAATACTTACATTTTTCGAGCAACATCAGTAGCCCGGTATTGCTCTTTCACCATGTTTACTGTTTAGGTTAGAATCAGCGACAAGAGAATTTTTATCAGAACCTTCGGTTGATAAACGTTGACGCACAGTCTAACTTCATCACACAAATTTATTATTATTCACCTAAGAATTCATTTTCACTGAAATATAAATTAAATAGTCAGAATTGAAATTCGTGTTCTATGTATGATCCAACGTGATCCTCAACGGTGCCCTCGACCTCGACTTCCTCATTCCTCTCCAGAATCTGAAGTTGTGGGAAGGTGGCGACACTTCTAGTGACGTCCAATGAAAGTGCAGGCTCAATATTTTCAAAAGGAGTAACAGGTGCCGATAAATGATTATATAGGTAGGAAGGTAGGTGTCCTGGAATTGGAGTAAAATTTTTGTTCAGATAAATTTCCTCCCTCTTTCGTGTTCTTTCCTCTCTACTCATGCTTCTGCCGCTCTTTGTTGTCTGAGATGAGTATCACGGATATTCAAGTACTTGGGCTATTTTTTCTCCCAGGAAATGCTTTTCTACTTTTGTGGTCGAACATCAGAGCTTTCATTTAAGCTCCGTTTAACCCGAAGTTTCCTAAAATTTTACAATGATTTTATTATTAAAACTTTGCAGGTCTGAATTTGAATCTCAAGATTGAATCGTTAGAATTTTTTTTTAATTTGAAAAAAATTAGAAATTTTACTTTTGGAAGAAGATTGATGAAATAATTAAAAACTTGTAATTTTAAAAAATCACGAGCGTTTTCTATAAATAATTTATAAATAACCAATGTTAAACCATAAAAATCATTTGGTGGGAATCGTAATAAATTTATTCATGTTCAGAATTTTATTAGAAACTGATAACATGCCTAAAAAAATTGCAGGTGACTGTATCTTTGATACAGCTGTAATTGTACGTGGATACGTTCATGGCCACAGAAACTCCTTACATACGCTTGAATTTCCTAGCAACTCCTTGCATTCCCGCTAATTTCCTAGAAACTCCTTGCATTTCCTCGAATTTCGTAGAAACTCCTTGAATTCTCTCGAATTTTCTAGAAACTCCTTGAATTCCCTCGAATTTTGTAGAATTCCGATAGATGGCGTTGCACATAAGGACCGGTTTCCAAAATGACCCCTGATATTGAAACCATAGACGTATCCAGGTAAAAAAAAATTAGAATAAATAATTTTGATTTTTTATTTATCAACAACGAATGTTTCAAAAAATAATAATTCTGTGTGCGACGTATTGGGATCGACCAATACGTCGATTCAGTTGTAATAATTTTAAATCTGCGAGTGTCTGAATGTTGGGAACGAGAAATATGATTTCTCTTTCCTGTCATTCAGACACTGGTCAGCAATCCCACGATGTCATTTGGACATCTTGGTGAGCAGTCCCACGGTTAGGCAGAGTCTAGTTCAGGTGTACTGAAGTGTTTGACTGTTTTAGTTTATGTCAATGACGACATAACGTAGTATTGGTAAAGCTAAACGTGAGACTGCTTAACTCAGCAAACTTTGGCCCTTGACGGGCTTTGACGAGTTTCGGGGACTCTGAAAGAGGCAGAGTACGATCAGGAGCTACACAGAGCGGATCTCTGAGCTCAGGCCTTCCGCCATACAATAAGAGAAACGAGTCAAAGTCCCGGTCAAGTCGGAAAAATAGCAACGCGTTATACCAACCCATTAATCATTATCGTGTATTGCCATCGTTTATTTAATATATGAGTAGCTTTACCTCATATTTGCGCGAGTGATTAATAATAACACCTTCACCCTTCATATCCTTCATAACATCCCTCCGAGTGAGTGAAACCCCCGTGAGCTCACCGCCAAAGCTAGTCGAGGTCGGAGTGACAACCAAATAAAATACAAAAGGATTACAGTGCAGGAATAAAAATAGTGAATAGAACTTTCATTACGTTTTACCTCCGGGTAAAACACTCCAAGCGTCACATTGGCGCCCAACAGTTTTTGGGCACTCATTCGGGGAATCGAGTGCGAAGAAAAATTACATTGAAGTGAAATTTTATGTGATGTTACATCAGAGCTGAAAGATTATAGTGAAGAGTTTCGTGGTATACGCGTGTATTAGAAGAGGAGCCGACGGTCGAAGCAAAGGCGATACGTCTCATTCAACCTTTCCCAACACGGTTGAATGTCAGAACACTTTTCACGCTAGTTAAACGGGGGTGAAAAAGTGTTCAAGCAAGAAAATTTTTTTTTGGATTTTCCCGAGAGACCACCAGATTCACGGACCCATAAGAAGTTAACAACGGAGTGAAAAGCGGAGACAACTAACCGAGTTCAGAAGCAGAGACAACTAGCAGAGAATTGCTAGTAGAGACAACCACCAGAAACAACTCGCCAAACCCTGGCGTATCCCCCGATTGAGATTCAATCGACTGTCCATTGTAGAATCGAGTTGATCAGTATATCGATTCGTATGCGAGTGTAGTTCGATTCAGATCTCAGATTATTGATGGAATCGAAGATGAATCGACTTCATAGGACGTCGATAGGTAGTGAATTTCAAATGACGAAAATTTATTGCACCAAAACTTGAACGGCTCATGGGGTGGTCGATTATGAAAGACTCCTTACGGTCGGACCAGGATCGACTTGAAGAAAGTCGATTGTGACTCGATTGTCCTCATTATTCAAGTCAATCGACCCACAATCGACAAGTTATTCAGCCGTTTCATATTAGTTTCTTATACTTAGTAAATGAATCGACTCGCTGCCAAGTCAATGGTAGCTCGATTGTCCTCATTATTCAAGTCAATCGACCCACAATCGACCGGTTGTTTAGTCGTTTCATAATAGTTTTCATAATTTCAGTGGGAGAATCGACTGATCCTTGAGTCGATTATTACTCGATTGACTTCATATTATTCACTTATATGAAATGACTCAACAACTGGTCGATTGTGGGTCGATTGATGTGAATAATATGCGGGCAATCGAGTCACAATCGACTTTCTTCAAGTCGATCCTGGTCCGACCATAAGCAGTCTTTCATAATCGACCACCCCATGAGTCGTTCAAGTTTTGGTGCAATAAATTTTTGTCATTCGAAATTCACTGGCTATCGACTTCCTATGAAGTCGATTCATCTTCGATTCCATCAATAATCTGAGATCTGAATCGAACTACACTCGCACACGAATCGATATACTGATCAACTCGATTCTACAACCGACAGAACCACCAGGGAAGCTAGTAGCAGTGACAATTAGCAGAGAAGCAACGCGCAGAGACAACGAACGCGACTAGAACGTCAACAGCAGGACAGAAGATGCACATCTGGCTTTTATTAGCCGTCTTGGGGTCTGTGTAAGTACTAGAAAAGCCTCAAAATTTCTCCTACGCGTTCAGAGCGATCCTTGATCAGTCGAGCTAGGCGACGCGACCGACGGAACAACGACTCGAGACCGTACCTCTCACAATTAGAATTAATAAGAATAAACATGGACGGCGCAGTAAACGGAGCCACAACAGGGGCACCGACGGAACCCGTAAGTTCCACGGTGCCGACGGCTAGTCCATCGGTAGTCCCGTGCACAGCGAGCATGACTACAACGTACACAACAGCGGGTACGAGAATGAGCGCGATCTCAGCTGGTGCTTCCCAGCCATTTTTATATAACCCCCCAACATCGGGAATTTTCACAGAGCTTAATAGAAGAGATTTTGAACTGAGGCAACTGGCCTCAGCATACGGAATAAATTATGGATTCAGTAGGCTAGAGTTGGGGCTAGGACAAAATAAGTCAGCATTCGGCATGGGTTATGGCATGAGAAGACCGGACTTAGGCGCGGCCCACACATTCGGTACGGGCTACGGACTTGGTAGGCCGGAAATGGCACTCGGAAGCCCAATGTCAAATACAAATCCGGGACTTGCTAGCCCACACTTCGGTCTCGGGGGTGTTAGTCCAGCACCAGGGGTGAATATTGGAGCTACAAGCCCAAATGGCAACCCTGGGGGCACGAACACAGGGTCGGAATACAATCTAGGTCTCGGAAGGCAAGGATACTGGTTAGGAATGGGTTATAACCCATGGGCAGATCACTCCTATGGGGAGGATCAGAGAGTAAGAAATGCGATCAGACTACTGCCATAATATGAAGTTGCGGACGATGTAGAAAGATTCATTACGAGTCTAAATATGTCACGTAGACTTTTAGGACCGGGAGATGAATTAAATTTTCTGCATCAATGCTTGCCAAAATTCGGCCCCAAAGCAAGATTGGCAGTGGAGAGCGCATTATCTAGTATCAACTCACTCGATGACCTTGTCATGAAACTTCGTCTTTCGTTCGGAACTAGATAAAATTTACGACGAATTCTTGCTAAAATGTCGCGCCTTCATCATCAATACAGTGAGTTTATTACTAATTATGAGGGGCGATTCAGGGCCCTCCAACTAAAGGCACAGAGTCGACTTTGACATAGATGCGACGGCTGATTATGGCATTAACATCCACGGTATTAAATTAAATATGAGGGAAGCTTTCCTCGCAGGGCTCAGGAGGGACATCAAAAATATGATGTTCCCTCTGACACCTACCTCCTTTGATGAAGCCGTCGGAATAGCTGTGACAATCGAATCGAAATTAAAAGAAACGAATGATTTCGAACAGCTGAGGAAATTGCACGCGAAAACAAAGCAGCCTCAAGGGCAAGGAAAAATTCGAGCGATAGAATCGATCGATGACGACGCCCTTGAGGCTGATTTGAGTGCAATGAGCATTAAGGCCACGACTTCAGCAAAAGCTGACGGGCAGAAACACGACTCTGGCAACGCCAAAGGCAAACCAGAGTACAAAGGGGGGAAACAATATGATAAGCGGGGAAAGAAACCGAGCACCAACGATAACGGTTGATATCGGTGTTCTAAGCCTGGATACTTTGCACGGGATTGTAGAACCCCAGCACATCTAATTAAAAAACAACCCCCAAGAAACGCGACTTCTAGCGAAACCAAAGGAGAGGGACAGCAGACAGAACCGACTGCTGTCGCCGGCCCCTCTAAAAATTTAAACTAGAAGTGAGTCCGGAGAAACTGCGCGATCTGAGACTCGGAGATATGGGCGAGTCAAACGTACAGAACACGATAGTATATGAGACGGCCCATATAAATTTCCGCGCAATGGATGTACCCACCACTCAAGTTCATTTAAAAGTTAATAGAAAAAAAATTCTAAGAGAATTAGAATTTAGAGAGAAAAAATTTCCGCTTCACCCAGCCGGGAATCGAACCCGGGTCTCCCAGATACGCGCCGGGCACTCTTACCGACTAAGCTACCGGGAACCACAGAAATTCACTCTCAAATTCACCTCAAACACCGCCTAACCTCCTTTAGGCATTAAAGAATTCTAAGAGAATTAGAATTTAGAGAGAAAAAATTTCCGCTTCACCCAGCCGGG